AGTAATACAGCGCAATTTTGGATGAAATATTAGATGTCATAAGATTTATAGAAAATTTAGGAATAATCAAAAGTAATAGCCTTCTGGCAAAAAAATCAACCACTGAAAATTTCAAAGCAATAGTATTCGAATGGTCCATAGTCCATAGTATTCGAATAGAAAAGCGATTTTTTAATGATAATGATGACAAAAAACAACAACAACATATTATTGAAACGATCGTTATGTCCACTGTGTGTCCAATAAGGGATGGTAAGTCTCTTATGAGCCAAGAAAAGATTCTGCGGGCCGGACAGTTGAGCGGTACGTTGCACCCCTCTGATCTGGATTAATGAAAGATCGGATTTTCATTGGTATTCGTATACAACTTGTCAATATTTTTTGAATGTGAGCAAACATGATTGAATGTTTTCATCAATCTAGTGAAATCAGTCATTACATCATTATTACAATATTCAGTATTATTTGACCCCGGGAACTAAGGATGTATCATTATTACAAATAATATAGGGTGTGGAGTAAAGAAAATAAATATTACAACAAATGTATTTGTTTGAGCATGGATCTGTACATATGTGGAAGCTACTGCACAACAGCTATAAAATAAAATTTATTCGGGTTATAGCAGATTATTCCATTTTATGATAATTAGTCAATTCGAAATGTTCATTATTAAATCGTGTATTTTTTTTCATTGCATATACTTTATTTCCATTTATGATCCAAAATCGTTCATATTTATTTGTTTTGACATGCAAGGATTGTGAATTAAATTAATTTAAATTAAATTCAGTTGAATCTTTATTCAGATTTTAGAACAAAGAGATTTGTGCTCCTAATTCCAAAGTTTTCAATGCTTTATGTAGTACGCTTATTTTCTAGGAATCCTTTGTTTTATGTATCAAATCTCGTAATAATCGAAGTAACTTATTCATCACGACGTGAGAGTTGATGTAAAACAGTGCTCTTCAACCTTTTTGTTATTGTGGAACCCCTGATATAATTTTTCGTTTTTTATGGAACCCAATTAACAAAATTAAAAAAAAAACGAAATACTCGTAACACGAAATATTTGTAATTCAAATATTTCCACTTCAACAACGAAACAGAAAGAAGGTTCCAAGCGTGAAATTCAATGACTAGGTTGTTCTTGCATTTCCTTTGCTATCTTCTTAAATCGTGGCTCCACGGCACTCAATGCAATTCTCATACTCATGTCTACTCTCTTTAAACAACTTATTTTTTTTGTTTTTGATAGTTGTTAATGCAGAAAATGCTGATTCACACAAATAGGTAGATATTTGTTCATATGGGTCGATATGATATAGTCCTTGTCATGTACGAAGGATGACTGGTTCCCAAGTGTCTTTGTAATTCAGCTGGAGCTAGTGCAGAATTAGAAAGTCTCACTGCAAATCAGACATTCGGGCTGTGGAGCTGCATTTAGAATCTGGTCATCGGAAAAAAGAAGCCGTATTTCAAATATGTTTCATCCCATTTTCTAACTTTGGCAATTGAATTACATTTGGTTCGCTTCGAAGGAGGAGCAGATGCCTCTTTTGCATTTTAACAACTTTGCTCTTTGCCGTCCTGACCTTCACCGTTATTATTACTTCGCCTCACATAAGAAAATATACTATTTTGCTTCATCTGTATTGACTAAATATTAAGAAGTTCACACTATTTTTACTATATTCCAACAAAAGCTGAACAACAACTCTAGTTTGTAGTACATACTCTCTCTAGTCTCGAGCAATATCTACATACTTTGAACATCATGTAACTATGGTGCAACAATAGCGTTCTTGTTAGTTGCATAACAAGGACTAAAATGACACAACAACCGAAAATATTTCTGTTTTGTCTATTAAATGCACTGTGCCTAAACCTCCTGAAACGAACTGGCCTACTTGGAGTTTGAATGAGACACGGTGGTCTAAGAATAATGTTTATAATGACGCATCAACATGTTGAAGCAAGAAATGATTTTCCCTGAAAAAAAACGCGGAACCCCTAAGGAACCCTATAAACTCACGGAACCCCACTGCATGTATTGCGGAACCTTAGGGGTCCGCGGAACCCCTGTTGAAGAGCACTGATGTAAAACATATATATTGTGCCGATTCCTTATAATTCATATCAAATTTGTGTCGGAGAGATAAAACTAATGTTTCAAATGCTTTATTTGACAATGTAAGCTTACTTATTCGGAAAGTAGGTGTTTTTTGGCCAATCTGGGACTAGTTCGTTTCGTTTTTGATGGGAGAAATTTGGGATGAGCAACGTTGCTGTTTTTCCGTGTTATACGGAAAGTAGGCTTGCACGTAATTTACGGAATTATTTCGAGTTACGGAAGCGAAGTTACGAATTGGGTAAAGTCGTAATTATTGGTCGAGCGCTTTCGCGATTGAAACGAGCTCTCTTCAGAGCAGTCAATTCCGTCGATTGTAAAAAATTAAAGTTCAAGTAAAAGAAGTTGAGTTCCGGTATTCGCAGCCGTTTTTCTCTCTCTTGTTAGGCAGATGGGGAAGGCATAACGCGTCATTTACTAACCTATTATCAACTTAACTAGGATGGCCAATGTACATATTAACCGTAGATAAGGAATAGAATTGTGTTGAGACCGATGGACGTCAACACACCTGGTTTCAACTTCTTCGGGTGAAATGACTAAAGAATGTAAGAGATCAACTTATAAAACATGGTCTATTTGTAAATGCCGTGATAATTAATGTCGCGCTTATCAAACAGCAATATAAAGACGGAAGAGAAATTGCGTAATGAACCAACGCAACTTAGTCTTTTCGGCATCGGTAAAGCGATTGAGACGGCAGAAAAACAACAATACGACGGGATTTCCCGTGTTTATTCTGCGCGAGATCCATTTTCTATTACAAAATCTTGACGTTCTGTTACCGATTTTATCATTATATATCTTTCCGGAATTGGCATTGCTCAAAATGTTTTTCACAATGCCTCGCAATATGTCGGCCAAATATGATTACCTGTCTTTACCAAGTGCGGCAACTTATTTTGATTTATCGTCGACTCGACTACCACCGGCACTCGACCAAACTTGTGTCAATCTTGGCAAATAGGATTGTCGACTTGAGTTAGAAAAATAAATTAATATTTTCATGAATGCAAAATAAATGTCACAAAATGCATTGTTTTGCGATATAACTTTATTGTAAAAAACGGTGAAATAACAAGTCTTCGTCGCGAGGCAAGCGAAAGTATAATCAAACGAGAGAATACGCTTGTAGTTGATTAATAAATTAGCAACCCGGAATTTTTATTTAATACTAAAGTCGTATTAATACGTTAATACGATTTTGAAAAAGTGAACTATCGTTTCTTAAATATATTACCAGTGTTGGTAATGATAAAATTGATCGCATAAAAGTTGGTGATAAAGTGGATAAAAAAATCAAAGCTAATACAAAAGATAAAAATCAGAATAAAATTATTTTGAATTCACTCCTTGATATTTGTCTTTAACATCTGTCGCCGGCGTGTAGTACTGCCGGGAATATGAAAACCAAACTTCGATGTCCCATTCGGAATAGAAGTGGATTAAATTGGTTGTTATGATAGGTTTAAATGTGTGAAAAAAATATCTCAATTACGGGGTCATTACGTAATCGATTTAGCCGTAATTACTGAATTGATCATTGTCAATTACATGCAAGCCTAACGGAAATTAGGTGTTTCTTGGCCAATCAGGGACTAGTTCGTTTCGTTTTTGATGGGAGAAATTTGGGATGAGCAACGTTGCTGTTTTTCCGTGTTATATCACCGGCACTGTAATTTAGGTACAATGTATTGAAAATTTGATGGGATGAATTAGTTAACAGGGGAATATCGATGATTTCCTTGTCTCGTGAATATGAGATCATTGTTTTATACAGGTGGAAAAATACATGTGTTGCTCCAAAGATTAGATTTTACAGTCAACGATGAATTGGGGTTATATTCGATAATTTACAAAGTGACAAATTGAAAACTTCAAGACATGGGAAGGTACATCAAGACATGGATTTGTTACAGGAGTCCATGTCTTGATGTACCTTCCCATGTCTTGAAGTTCTATGAATCGTTATTGGATACGAAGTGGACCAATGGATCGTTTTGCGATTATGTTGTTGTTGGTGGTTTTCTTTTTCCTGTTGTGAAAAAAAATCAGAGTCTTAATTCTTGTGCACACATCGTTATTGATGTATATCATTGACCTTCTCTATATATATAAGTTTTATTTTGCGTATTATCCACATACGCTGATGGCACAACTCTGTATGTATAATTTATATGACTTGTAGATGCTGATTACTTCTCCACTCTTCCCCTCTCACTGCCCACTGCTACAATAGCGTACGACTTATATAGAAGTTCGACGCTATCGTAAACAGATTCACAGTGATGTGTTAAATGAGTTATACTTTTGCTAAAGGGGCAATTTGAGTTTTGGCCTAATTAGTTATGAGCGTGTGATTATTTCCAGCGATCTGTTAGATAAGTGATTTTTTCGAATTAGATGTTTTTGGACTTGTTTAGATTTATCTGAATCATCATTTTGTTCAAATTACTTATATTCCCTACACCTCTACATAAAATCGAATAAGCCGCAGCGTTTAAACTTCGCACAATGACCGACTGGTCTCATATTCTTTGAAGGAAGGCACCGGCGAAGTTAACTCTAAACTCCAAAAAAATCTTTTTGCCATTAATCATTGCCATTGAACTAGCGTTCTTTGAAAATGTAACCCTGTTGGTTTACTGAAACTTTTATTGGTCTTGCTCCAACACTTCGAAAAAATACCATGACATAAATTAATTCGGTTGACTGCGATGAAAGCATTCCTTCAAGCCTGGTCCATCTTCCGGCGTGTACGCGGATATTTATAGTTTGAACGCATATTGGAAGTTTTTTTGCCAAGAACCGCTGCTTTGTATATGTATGACCATATATTACTTTTTAGGAAACAACTGCCAATTTCAAATCAAACTTTGATTTCTCAATAATTATTTAATTAAGAGCATATTTCATATCAATGATGGTAATTGGTTAAAATATATCAGGAAATAACAAGATGTACACAGAAATTAACACACTTGTCCTAGAAGACGATGCACAAATCTATGCACTAAATTTCCAAAACAAATGTGTCTTACATATAAAGAAATTAAGGTAAAATCACTAACAAATGCTAAAGTCGTTTATATATTGTTTGATATTGAATGGCAGAAATTCACCAGCATTTGCATCAAATATCTGAAAATTAGTCTGCTGAGAAATTTCCGGAGGCGAAATAATCTCGTTGCTACCAAGATCAAGAAGAGACTAATATAATCCATGTCAAAAAATGATGAAACCAAATATTGACTCTTGCTTAGTTAATGATGGTTTTCAACAGAAAATGATATGATAGTTGACTGAGTTTTCTTACAGATAACTATTATTGCCTTTTTAGGCTTATTAATATTTCATTTGGCGATAAAACAATGCTTTGACAGCCAATGCATCAAGAGAAAAGGAAAATGGGTGCAAAATATTTGAATGATATTTGATGTATGCAAATTTACAACGGCAGTTCAAATGTTATCTTGGAAAAATCACAGGGAGTAAATATAATATTCCACCAATATATAAGGTATGCTGCCCATAAATATTTTACATCGGTCTCATCAAAACCAAACCATACGACACATTAAATATTGTCTTATCTATTGTACACAAAATACAAACAATAGAAGATGCCAGAAAAGGAAACATATGAAAAATTAATTATAATCTCACTCTGTAGCAGCTTTTATCAAATTGGCATCAATAAATGGACAGTCTATTCACAAATATCAACTCGGGTCATTCAATGAGAGTAAAAATGATTCTTCAAACATTTTATGGCTTTTGATAGAAAACAAATGAGGGTGTCTTATCATATTAACAGCCAATAATATAATACGAATATACATTTTCTCATTTAAAACTTGTTTTTCAATTATTCGCAATGTTTACTTAGCATTGAATGCAAAACAATACCAGTTCATAGGGGGATCAATCTTTTCAAACAGAACATAAATTTTCATCTAATGTTCTTGAACTTTTTCTCGCTTCATATGATTGTAGCATACGCGAGTCAAAAGAATACTAGAAGTAACCATTGAAGCAATTTGACCTTTGCCCACAGGATTGGAGTCAAAGAATGCATAAAACTTGTGTATATAACTAACAAATTAATCTGGTTTATTGTTGCTTCACAGTAGATCGCTCTAAACCGATTGAATTGTGTATCAAGCGAAAATTATATAAAAATGTATTGGTCGTTCTATATGAAACGAGGTCCAAGGAAGCACTATAAAGAAATTACCTTCAGTTCAATTTGATACAATCCCTTATACTAGATATGCCTTTCATGCTAAATAGGAAATTTACATGAAAGGTTTAAGTCTTCCAAGTTTTCATTCAAAACATATTTGCCTGTTGATTTATCAGAATATGATCAAGCGTAAGCCATAGAAAAATGAACCTGTTGAGATAATATTTCTGAGGCTCTTATTCAAGTGATGCATTTTCTGATTAACGCCACACAATTACTATGGCTTCTAAATACTTAGATAAATTATTTTTAAATCTTCGATCGAAACACGAAAAATGGTTTGTATCATATAACCATAACTGTCATTTCTTCAAATTAGGCTAAGCAAAATTAGGTTTTAACACAATATGATTAAATATATTTTTAGCATATAACATTACACAAAATATTATATAAAAACTTCAGTAAAAACATCATGATAGCAAATTAGCCTTGTATTTGAATGACATTGTGCATATTAATAACAATGATCTAAAAACGAACCGAGTGGGAGATTTTGTACATTAAAAACTCATTAGGGAGTTTTTACTGAAAATTTGCTGCTATTTAATCTGTATGTCAGAAATTTGAATATCAGTGAATGTATTTATTGTGGAGTGACCTCTGTCAAACAAAGATTTTGACTATACAACCACATCAAGGTTTTACAACAGTTTCCAATAATATTCCACCGATTAGAGTGTTACACGAGAGCTGTATTCTGTTGAATCAAACTGTACAACACATTTCCATGAACAATTATGAGTACCGTTCATTGATGATATTATAGCAGCAAATCTCAATACTTGACAAACTATTGGCAACGCCATTACAATTCTCACAAATAATGTTTTGAACCTTGCAAAATATAGAAGTGGAAACAGCGAAAGATAGATTGCTAAGAAGACTTGAATTCCTGACCACACTGCAGGAGCCTAACAATGGATGGATCGGTCTTCGCCCCATCAATAAACTCATTGAGTGTAATCGAACCTGAAATTAGTAAAATATATGTGATAATTAGAACAAATGTAGATACATTTTGCTTTTTATTTCAGAATTGTTGTTTAAATCAAAAACTACCACAAGTAAAATAAATTGATCTAATCCAAACAGGAATGCTCTGATATATGTTGATTACAGTCAAATAACATAATGCCTTCTAGGGGGATCCCCATACCTCTGTTTTTAACAAATAAATACAGACTCGAGGCAACAGAATTTGAAGTACTACTGGCATGGGCAAATCATAGTTTTCGCAAATTTGCTAATACAATACACCACCTGAGAAAATATGCTAAAAAAGTCCCAAATTTCCACTTTAGAAAATGTGCCTAAAAACCAAGTCCAATCCATTATATATAGATTGCATGATATGGAATAAAGAGTTAATATTAAGATTTAAAAAAAATCAATTGAATCATTCCCAACCCAAATTAATTATTCATACATCTGAGGATGCTATTATAAGCTCAAGTATCTTGTCAAATTGTCAACTCTGCTTGACATCCGTAAATGATGAGAGCTTTCTATAATAAAAGTTTTTGAGCACAGAAATGAATATTGAATCTTGTGACCCTATTGAAGCAAAGCTGCCTCATGTCCTGTAGTGTATAAACAAACATATTATTTTTGAACACATGAATTGGATTATTTGCCCATATAATCAACTAAATATTCTTTTCACACAGAATGTCTCAACTTTAGCCAGCCATTATAACTCTGTAACGAGACGGACGTATATTCTTTGACATGCTGTCAAATTATTTCCCTGAAGGCCTATGCCAAAAATAAAATATTCCCAAAAGACAATGTAATACAAATCAACTATCATTATCTAACCATCTTGATTCTTATCCATTTGTTTGAAAATTTTGTCTGTTCGTTTCTCAGGAGTGGATTCATCTTCAGGCATATTCATAACTGCTCCAACCATCTTGTAAATAGCCTGACAAGATATTTGAAAAAAATTTATATTAGGCCCTTAGCCCCTAAATTTCTATATAATATAGTAAATTGATAAAATGCGATGATATAGAACAAATACGACAATGGCATATATATAATGACTATGTATATTTGCATGGAATTGAAATCACAATTTAAATCGATAAATTACCTTCATGATTGAAACTGACCCTCATAAAAACCAAATTAATGACAAATTCATAAATTATAACTTGATTTTCAAGATCACTAGAATATGTAATTAATTAGGTCAATGAAGACACATTGACAATGCTATTTCTGAAGAGTATACATAAGTCAAAAACAAAATGATAGTTATCAATCATACACACAGTTGTTTAAGATCAATAACATACCCGAACAATTTCAAGCATCTCTTGTCTTGAAATCATTCCATTTCCATCCAGATCATACATGGAGAAAGCCCACTTCAATTTATCTTCAAGATTTCCTCTTGATGTTACGCTCAATGCTACAATGAATTCCCGAAAATCGATTGTACCTAACAAACATTATAATTTGTTATTTTTAAGTCAAATTTATAACAAAACTTTTGCTTTATAAAATTCATGAAATTAGGCAAAAGAAAAGCAAGTACGAGAAATCAGAAAAAATCGTTACACATTACAAAATATACAACTTCTTCAGGTCGGTCACTCTATAATAAACACATTCACTGAAAATATTTAAATATCTGACTTTGAGATTAAAAAGCAGCATATTTTCAGTTAAAAAGCTTCCTAATGAATTTTTAATGCTCAAAATCCCTGGTTTGTTTTTAGATCATTGTTATTATTATGCGCAATCTGTCATTCAAGTAGAAAATTGAAAATAGCTTTTCTGCTTAGACAACCTTTTTCTCAGAAAAAATACAAACAAAGTATGTTGCCTGTATTTGGTCGATAACCGTACTTGAATTATGGAGATTATTACAAACATTTGTTATTCGCACACATATGTAATCTCTTAAAATCTTAATAAGAAGAAGAACAATTAGAACATAATACACATCTAACAGTCAAAACTGAGTAGCATAAAATAAATAAAAAAACAAAAATAGATTCAATTTACGAATCTGTTTGTCAACTTATTTCATAGTAACATCATGATGACACATCTGGTAAAATTTGGCATTAATCATGATTTCATTGTCATTTCATAATTTCAATTCATTCCGAATCATACAGGCTGGATTCCCCATAATCTATTATATTAATCTGTATTCCTGCATATACACCAATTGTTTATACATCCTTCTTATCATTATTAATCACAACAATGGGTTCAGGAAACTAAGGACATTCCCACACAACTAAGATTGTATACTTTACTAATATTATATACATATTATTCAAATGAACATAACACTGTAGGACTTTTTGTCAGACGTATCAGTGCCTGAAAGTCCGCTGTTGTGATATATTGAGAGATCAGAAGACATTTACAGCAATCATTTCAAAATCATAGAGGTCAAAGTTGATATTCCAGAAAAATTACAATGAATATTGCATTATTTGAACATTCATTTCCTTGTTGAACAATTGTCAATGCCAATTGTTCAGAATTACAATATCAATTCGTCTCACATTTCACAGTAATTTCTATGATGTTATTAATGCATCTTATTTTTAAATCACAAGAGCCATTGAATTCTTTTCATAATTCCCATTTAACATTTTTGAAAAAATCTTTATTCCATTGAACTTGACCTTGAAAATTTCTCTTATTTCATTAGAAAAATGGAAGTACCACTTAATCCAATTATGGTTTAAAATTTTATTTGTATTGAACTATAAATTAAGTCATTAAACCACAGTCTAAAACGAAGTTGGAATATCGACAACACAGTTGGTACGTGAAATTAACTGTTAATGTGACAAATATTATTGTATTTGGAGGTAGAAAATTAAAATAGTTTCATTGTATAAACATGAGGCCCGAATACTATAAATATAAACAGCGAGTTGTGTGTTAAATGTCCTGTCAATCAAGTTCAGATTTAATAAATTCAAATCATGTACATAAAACTTGTTTGTGTGTGTGAATTCTCTTTAGATAAAAATTTTAAACCAGAGTTTTTCAGCTAAGAGCCTACTTTTTAATGTGATAGCTTGCTCACCATGCAGTTGCAGACTGAGTCCTTCCACATGGCTTGTCGCACATGGCATAATTATAAGGTTGTTATTAATTGAATTATTACAAGGTTAGACATATAGACTTTCTAAATCTTGTTAACACCTTTCTTGAGAAGTGAAATCATAGTATAGCACTGCAAACAAAGGTGACAGAAACCCAATAACTTACCATTCCATACATTCATATGATACACAAATATGGTTTCAAAACCTTGAGCATTGCTCTATCAAAAGAAACCATAACCATATAGGTTGATGCAAAATGTACACATTATATATATAATAATGATTTTCAAGTGTTTTTACAGTGGAAGTTGAATTAGAAATCACACAATGACAATACTATATTCTTAATTCATTACATATGTTGAAGTGAACTCAAAATGGTCTGAAAATCATCAATTATTCATATGTTTGAAGGAAAATGTAAAGATATTATCTCAATAAAAATATTTAATATTCTTTTGATTTTTAAGGGTTCAAGAAGTTGTTTCAATCATGATAATGCGATTTCACACCTTATATACAAGGATAGTAGATACAGAATATAAATCCAAATTACCCTTTGTATATTATGAAAATTATATTCTCTGAATATTGATGAAAGGAAAATAATACTCCACTGAACATGTTATTATCGTCAAATTCATCAAACATCAGCGAAAAAATACAGAAATCTACTGTGAAAACTGTTTATGCAAAATGTTTGTCTAATAATAATTTACATTAGTTGTTTAATAAATTACAAGCAGCTGGCATCGTCCAGATCCCAATCAGTCTTATATTAGACATTTGCTGCATTCAAAATTTAGAGAGATTATTTACCGTAGTTTATTCAATTTTAATCTGTCAGTGCACAGCAAATTAAGGCTTAATAATGCTGAAAACTGATTATTGCTCAGACTTCAAATAATTCCAGAGTATGGCATCGTCTGGGGATGACATGATTGAAATGCTAAATATTTTAGAAGTCCTCTCAGCAATTCATTTCAAGTTCCTTTCAAAAGTATTATTACTGTAAGGAGAATAGTTCACATTGATAAAATATAAATTATTTCGTACCGATTTCGATAGTGCTGCACTAAACTTTAAAATTCTAACTTATTGATTAGCACAAACTCATGATTAAATAATTAACAAGTAAAACATGGCATGTGACACATTTCATTTCAAAAATCAATCAACAGCTGGTTGGTGTGATGACAACCATCAAGCATACCTTATTATGCATTATTAAGCAGAAAATGACAATTACAATACCTTCTAATAATGCGAAACAATGATTACAGATTTGATCAGAAGCACAAGTTAAAATTACAAGATATCAAAAGGTGACCATGTTTAGCTACAGAGACACTGCCATGTAGATGCAATATAATTGAACATGACAATACAATATTTTATAAAACCAAGAAAATTGCTGTGATATCAACTTTTGAATCGGTTTAGTTGGGATGGATGGATTTGCGTAATTATAATGGCGTATGGTATGGTCTTCATTCAACCAATCCATTCATAAACGTAATATATAAAACACAATAAAATATCATCACACATGCTACATGAAACGAAGTTTGAGAGAAAATGTATATTATCATGATATAATTAACTAATATCTTGAATTTTAGTGCATTGGGCTAAAAAAAAAAACATCATTCCTACTGAATATTATTCTTGGTAATTGGTTCGTCATATGGTAAATGCTGGATTAAATACCATTCAAATTAAAAGCTCTTGCTATAAAAATTAATTCAATAACCATGTACCGAACATTTGAATTTAACTTCATTTCACCGCCCATGCATAATTAACAGTACTAGATTTGGGACTGGTTAATGGGCGTAATTCCTAGAAAGATCAATATTTATTCAATCTCGTAATGGAATGAGTAGAAAATATTTCCAATTCCCTAAATGAAAAACAATCATGTTCATAATTGCATGCAACTTTTTTTTTTACAAAAACTTTCTCAAATACAAACTCAGGTATACATATACTTTATTTATATTATATACTGTTATTATAATCTGGACCTCAATGCCACTATGAATGGCCTAATTATCCATCCACAGATAGCAAGTTCGCAATTCTCAATCAATCCATTGCCAAAGCAAAGTCAGCAATCTCAATGATGACGCATGAAATTAGGAGGTGAATCCCTAAACTGGATAGGACATTTTTCCAGCCTCAGTTCCTAGTCGTACAAAATGAAAACGAATGATAATGTTTGCCACAAAGGTCACAATGACTAAATAGTAAGTGTTTTGTATCTTACGAAACAATGTGTTTAAGCATAATTTTCAAGTGAAGTGCGTCATTGACTTTTCACCCAACAAAAACAAATTGGGAAGAACTCAAATTTCTGACTCGTGAAGCCTTTAATTTAGACATGGAATTCCTTCACTTTGTCCTCCCACTTTTGTATTGAGCAGAAACTACCAAAACAAAGTCCAAAACTATGAGATAATGTGATAGGAACTCATGAAAACCAAGTATTATGACAGAACCAATAATGATATATCTGTTGTAGCATTCTTGTCACCTAATTTGATTTCTATTTGAATGCTGAATTTAAATAAAACAGAATGGATACAGTATGCCAAAAATTCATTTTCCATGAAACATTCTAGTAAATATAAAATTTATTACTTTGTATTAAGTATTAACAATTGAATAGTTTAATTTTTGCATATTTTCCTTTTGTTTCATCATAATAAGAATATTCCAAGTTGTCGTCAAACATTTCAGTAAGAATATGACTTGAAAAATTTGGTATAACTAAATTTTGTTTTATACATCATTAGAATAACAAATCACCACTGCCATCTCCCAATATTGAATATTTGACCAAATTCAAGAACAATGAACATAAAAAGATCAGGCATCATTTATCATTAGCACAGATGTAATACAAGCAAGACAACATGTAATTAGGATAATTATAGTCTTTGAAATATATTTATAAGAAAGTGCGAGCAGGCAGTTTATATTACACATGACTGTTATGTGATTACTGTAAAAAGGCAGCATAAATAGCTTGACGCCCATTTAGGAAATAATCCGTCATTTCAAATGACTTTGTAAATAAAAGATCTCAAATAACTCACAATGTATTGTGTACAGAATGTGATTAATAAATATTTGAAAGAGAGGCGTTTTCCACAATACTATTTTCTGCAGTGAACATTAATTATATTTTACAAACTTTCAAAAATCATATGATTCATATAAATGATTACCTGGGACTATACAAAAGTGTAGTTTTGAACCATACAATTGTTCATTAAACTTTGCCTCTAATTTAAACAGCATGCTACATATTCTATTATATGTCCACATTATGATTCTATGACCATTCTCATGTCTCAACATATTAGTTTTTTGATAAATGATCAAGTCACAATATACTTGTATTGATCCAGCAAAGAGATGTGGAACTTTCATTGGAAAACTTTGACACAACATTGACATTTTCCTTTATAGGTGGTCGCAGTAGGCAAATGTCAGATGTCTGTGAGAAACTTATTTTCTCCAATGTCCAATAAAATGTCCAATAAAAATCAATGACAACTATTTGTCAATGGATGCCATTCAATGTTGCTACTGTAAGTCTTGTGAAATAGCCTTATTTTCCATAGCGAATGAAATTCAACTAGGGTATATTAGTACATATTTTGTCTGGTTTTAATCAGTGGATTCGTCTAGATCAGGAGTGTGTGACCAACCTATCTTCGGGCGATATTGACTGAATTTTTGGTAATGTCTTGCAATCAACAGATCAGTAATATTGTCACACACAAAAATGGATGGGTGTAAAATTTGATTGGACATCAAAAAGGTGAGCCAACCAAGAAAAATTCGAACCACAAAACATCAGAAAGATACGACCATGCTAATGCTTCCACAGCTTCGACAGGAATTTAGTAAATTCTAGGTTGTGAAACTGAATATTTAATGGTAACTTTTATCTGGGAATTAAACGTGGGTGACACCACATACTTTCTGTGTTGAATGATTGTGTTGAAAATTTCTCAGAAATTTTCAAATTACAGAGATATAAATGAATAATTGAAAGAATTTTATGTGACATTTGATATTTTGATTTAATAAAATGTACCATAAAGCAATAAAACTACAATACATGTTTGAAATGACAAAAGCTGAGATATACAAATTATTCTATGAGTTAATATCAGCAGATAAGAGACTTGAAAATGTTTGAGTCAACACAATAAAGGAAACAAAAATTGTTTGGGGCACTACAGAGCATAGAAATAAAATATTGAAGAAAAACCATAAACAAAAAAATATAACAAATTGAAATTACTGAAACAAGTTAGTAAGGTTCATGTAGCAGTAAAGACTGCTGATTTACATAAAATAGAATGCTTTGCAACTGTGAAGGTGTTTGTTGCGTCTGATGACTAATGTGGGCTTTTGGCCCAATCATAATTGATACTCTTATTACCTATTATATTTAGGTAATAAGAGTTGCAGAAGTACCAGTGATATTTTAAAAATACATTATTTTTGCCTTGTATTAGGTACTCATCAGAAAACCTTAATTATTAATATATACAAGAGTCAGTTGCCAAGTTTGCCTAAAAATAATACTGCAATCAGCATTATTATTTTTATGAAAACATATTGATTATCTTATTGATTCTTACCATCATTATTGGCATCAAAAGTCCTAAAAACGTGTTTGGCAAATTTCGATGCATCCCCATATGGAAAAAAATTTGAATAAATTTTTTGAAACTCAGCTTCCTTCAATATACCGGTGGGACAATCCTGAACAACATAAACAGTTTAATTATATGAAAGTGAAATTTTAAATTTAATCATATTTGGTATCAATAAGCCCTGTCCATCCAGAATTTTATTAGTCCTAAACTAAATAGGAAATTGCATAAACAAAATAAAAACACAACGCTATAAATTTTTTTAGCTACATTGAAACAAATATATTAATAAGAGGTTTTTTTAATTTATTCAAATAATATAAGGAGAGAAAAATTGTCAAAGTATCTTATTGTGGTGGGTTGTAGTAGTTTATCATTTTGTTGAAAGTGACTTTTTTTCTTTGCAAACTCAAAAGTTATGGATGATATTTTGTGGTTCTCAACTTCACGCATGATCGAAAATCATGGTATTCTAATAATTGTATACAATCAGCATGTTACTTTTAAACTAATGTAGCAGTGATACGTTCCTCACATGATACCTTTCTGTATCTACAAACAGTACATACCTTTAAGAATCCTCTGTACCATTCTTGTAGCTCATGCTCAGAAAACTGTGTGCTTTGTGTCAATTCACGAATATCTTCAGGTTTCAACTTGCTGGTTTGCTTTCCCATGGTTGATTACCTCAGATTGGAACAATATCTTTTAATTTGAAAAACCACTCTAAACTTGTGTAGCTGTAGGTGTGGCCGCATAAGTTTGAAATATCAGATGAGTATGTAGATAAATACTATCAGGTTTTAGGTTATAGCTGTACAATAATAACAATAACAGATAAGCATCAGTAGCCTATAAGCACTACAAACTAGAGATGTACCGATACCACTTTTGTCGCCGATACCGATCCGATACCAGCTAAAAACGCCGATACCGATACGCCGATACTACAAAAAGGCCGATATTACCGATACCGATACTATGTAATTATTATTTAATTAGGTATGCTGTGTAGAGCAGACGGGTTAAAACAATGGTCTTTAAGCGTTGTTCATAGTACACATTATTTCAGATCGAAAAAAAAGATATATATATCACATAATATGAAATTAATGTTTGGTATCCATATGCTGTAACTGATTAAGATACATTGTACAGTAACGCTAGTAGCTAGGTGTTCAATTAGAAAACTCATAAGCCGGAATGTCCAATTTGAATTTAATATTAATATCGCGAGCTTCGAATATCGTTATTCGTGTTTAAAAGAATATCGAATATCACCCACACATTCTAGCGCCGCCGTCCTACGTTCAAATTAAAAGCATTTTACAAATATTTAATTTAGTGGCTAATCGTAATCGTCGACGCAATAAGTCAAAGCCAACATGAAAGAATATCAATCAGCACCGACATAAAGAAAGCCCACCGTTAACCGTTGAGGATGTTTTTTTACTTCGCTATTTTATAATATTTTACAATTGCTATCATATATTTTGAGACAGTCTAGGCTAGGGCTAGGCGGTCAAGTCAATATATCTATAAAGAAATCGTGTAATTAAGCAGAATTAGAATTAATACCTGTGTAGTGGGATAATTGTGTCGGAATTTAGTTTATCGATGTCGACGGACTAAATGACACTCGTACTTGACGACAAACAGTCAGAATTTATACCCGTGCCAAAAGTCCATGTGCCGTTAATAAGGAAGGACCCCAATTCCATTGTATGATTTAAAACTGGGCGCCTAGTTGCTTTTTGTTATGTGCTGTGTTGATATATTTCTTCATAAAAACTATGTAATATTGAAAATGTCAATATAAAAATTTGACAGCGAAAATAGCCAAATTAGTTGAGCTAGTTTAGCTGATAAATAGCTAAAAACACGTGAATCCTATTCTCTCGCAGGGGTGGGGACATGTATGGCTCATAGCTCACGATCTCTCCAGACAAAAATTAATTAAAAAGTAGTATTCCAACTTATCTTTTAAAACATTCTGGACCATATCAAAAAGGTAAATATATCGGTAATATCGGCCTTAATCTAACCGATACCGATACATGGCCGATACCGAAAAAATGGCCGATATTGCCGATACCGATACATCGGTACATCTCTACTACAAACAGGTAACTTTGTGGTCCGTCACCATCTTGCTCTTGAGTGGAATTCATCACTTTTGCAAAGCACTAGGATGACACAAAAATATAATTTATATCTTTCTATGATTGTTCGAATAAAGAAACAGAAGACTGCTGTTTATGTGCCAATAATTAGAATAATCTTGTCAATTTGATGCTTCAAATTTCTATTTTTCTGTCTTTGGAGCTTGTGAAAAAATTAATAAATATGATTGGTGCATTTCACAAATAATGCAGAGACCTGAAAATTAAACTATATCCTAATTTTTTTCTGAAAGCAACATCTTGGTAATATATCAAAGCCATTTCTGACACAAAATGATTAAAATCTGAAGAGAATCGAAATTTATTTTTAATTTTCCACCTAGTCCAGTGGTTCCCAACCTATTTATTTCATTATGTTTCTCCCTTCGACTATTTTGAAACCCCTTAATTCCTACCTCAATATATACATACAAACTACATCAATTTTTTAGTCTTGAATGAAACTTTAGCCGGTTGGGCTGAACAAATTTCCATAGATACACAGAATGGTCTCCTGAGAAACTTGGAATTCCCCAAGGAATAATAGTTGATAAACATGACAAGTAGTGAAGTGATTAAGTCAAACATATAACCCTTGGGATTGTGAGATTAGCTAGTCGATGTTACATTGATAGCAACAGGTTAACTATACATTTTACATCAGTGTGAAAGCTGCAGGCTCAAATGTATCATAATAAATAATAGAAAGCTACACTCACAAGGAAAATATAAATTATTCAGAAAAATAAACATATTCTCCAGTACCATTTATGAAATTAGTATATTATTAATTAATTAATAATGTAATCAGACAAATCAATTAAATACACCTTATTAGAGAATTCAAAGAAACATTTCAAACCTGGCAGAAATTATGTTATCAGAACATAACTATCAACTTCCTACATAATCCAGGATTGCATGATTAGATTATACATTCTCAAACTGTATTATTCGAAAAAGGAATCAAATCTGTTATGAACGCAGATTAAAGCGAAGAATTACAAATCGCAGTCCTACAACATTTTAAATTTTAACCTCCCATAATACGATTTAGTATTCATATGCACTTGGGGCATAACATCACAACCGGAGTGTCAATGGTGAAGTACTGTGTGATTCAAATATGTCAAGCAACCCTTTTACAAAGAATCCCCCACATCATTCGAACCTGCAGAGTTGACTAAGATAATCATCAGTGCCATCATAAATAAACATGTCGGGATGTATGTGCTAACAGCCGAGCGTATATATATTATTGCCCTCTTCTACAGCATGCAACTTTGTGACTATCATCAGAAAGCAAATTGTGGAGCAGACAAAAATATACTCCATGCAGTTGTACTCTCTGTACAGCTGTAGTTACCAAGTGCAGGAGTGATAGCTGAAGTACAGAAGTATGGATGACCCTGGTAAATTATATTTTATATTACAGTATTATAAACTTCTGAACTTGTAAATTGTTTCAGGTAGATTTCTAGAGCTTTCTAGGACTTTAGCATGTGCCTAACTGCTTATTACCTGTACTACTGTACTACAGTCAGACAGTACTACTGTACTATATCTGTATATACAGATATATAATTATGCTCTAAGTAGAAGGTCACATAGGACTAGGTAAACACTTTACAGTCTTGAAGCATAAATCATAATAAAGAGTAGACAAATAATGTCATCTTAAATATAACATGACATACATCAATCTATTGAGAGTTTCGAAAAAGGCAAGCGTGACAGAAAAAATAGTCTCAAGTCAATACTCCCCTATAATGAATGATTGATATAGATTTATCAATATGAAGTCATAGAAAGGTTAAACATCCTCAGCTATAATTAATTAAGCAGCTCTTTCAATTTATAAACCTACATGCTACATTTGCAAATGCTGAAACATCAGAATATTGATTTTGGGCTAATTGCATTAAAATAAAATTTAGCATACAACACAAAATTCTCCATTGATTTAGGAAAATCCAATAATTAATCAATCACACATTTTTGCACTTAACATCAACAGAAAAACAGATCAATTATTCCGAAGCTTCATCTTCTGCTCCCATACCTGTGTAAGTTGTAACTTACATCTAACACAAGACAATGCAGTGATGAATATAAAGATACTGTCTGACAGTGGACAATGTTGTAATGTTATAATATAAAAACAAAGGTCTTGAGCTAGAAAACGTTTTAAGCATAATTTGAATCCATTATATATTATTAAAAAATAACTCCCGTCATTTTCAATAGGCATAAAATATACCCCAAAATAGAACGGGAATGAAAGGTCTGAGTGTGCGATACCGGTACGGTAACTTACGGTATCACTATTGACGCCTATGTCACTATGTGGTACCGTATGTATAACTTATAGCCTACCGGTACCGGCGCAGTTATTAACGTTCTGACATTAGACTAGCTAGGCCATCCGATATAACGTTTTTCTAGTTTACTCCCGCCATACCACATGCAAAACGGTACCGGTACCGGTACCTAAACAATTTCATATTTTCGATAACGTTGGCTGTAACTTCAGAAATTCACTGGTGCCGTAATTCTTATGCGGAGGCGTCAGTACGCGAACCGAAGTACCGGTACCGCAACGATCTTGCATCAACTGTTACGGCAATGCAATAGTATGGTAACATCTGAGAAACTTTATGTGCGGTTAGTATGGTACTAGGAACCAAAGTGACACTTTGGTAAGAACCGTACGTGTCGGTAAGCTACCTACGGCATGTGCAAATTTACAGAAAATACGTGAATCAAATCGTAACTAAATACTACACACACATTACTATTAGGTTTAAAAATCAAGTGACTGAGAAGGAAAGGTGTCATTCAGTTATACTTGAAATAACATCCGATATTGTTGCTCAGTCTGGCTCCATGGTAATAAAACACTTGTCTCAAAATTGCAAAGTATTTGTAATATTTTTTTTAAGAATTGCTTTTGGGAAATATGAAAGTGAAAGTGTAAACCATTTCTATAAAACCTTGAATATACTCAAAAGTGAAGGTATCATGAACTTTGAAGTACTATCATTAGTCTATGATTTTCATAACAATTCCCGGCCCAACTGCTTCGACGACATACTAACTAAAATTACTTCCAATCAAAGAAGTAGTTCCGATTTGTTCATACCTTTTATGAGTGCATCTGTGAGCCGGCATGCCCTATCTATGTTATACTGAGCCCAAGCTGTGGACTTCTCTCCCTTCGAATTTGAAAACATTGAAATCCAAAAAATCCTTTCAGAAAAAAGTCAAGTCCTACTTGGTATCCAAATATTAAAAGTTATTATTTCAGAACCACACTGATATATATTTCTCGTGTGTTATTTGCTAGAACCTCCAAAGAAAGACCATGACATAAGTTAGGACACTCCTCACTTGCACATATGCCTACTTATTATTTCATGAAAATGTTGAACAGCCATAATATTGTTATTGTACCTGAGATTGCTAATTTATTTTTGAACAAGCAGTTAAACTCTCTTCATCTGTGTTGCATTCTAGTTGGCCATTAAGTTTGTTCTATAGCATGCATAACATAAGATTTTTCCTCATATGACTGTTAACATTCTGACATCTGCATACGCAAGTTCCTTTTTTGTCAATGTTGGGTTTCTGATATCTCACATTCTCATGCATGATCTTTGTTTTCTATT